AGTGGTTCAGCAGCAGCATATTTACAGAACCACGTGAGTTGAGCTGCTAAGGAGCAAAGCCACCATCCGGCCCTGCCTCCCATGCGTAGGGGTGGCCTCCATTTCATGGGAACGGCGGGAGACAGCACTCCGCCTAGGCCTCTGTTGGCCTTTAGGGTTTGGGGTTTTGTGTTTTTATTAGACTTGCTGGCATCACTTATTCTTGGATGTTACTGTACGAGGAAAATGGCAAGAGTGTTTCTTCGGAAGGGCAATTCTATTCGGCACGATAAAGCGCAGCAGGCTAACTGGAGTAATTGCCAAAGAGGGCTGGCCCGCAGCCAGCCCAGCCCAGCCCAGCAGCAGCACATTCAGGCGCTGGGCAGTCAGGGCAGGGCGAAGACAATGGTTCCTAATCTGTCCCCCTCCTCATGAAATTAGAGCCCCTACGAGCTGCAATTCCAATGGGAAAATGATTTGCAGGGCCTGGGTTCTGCAAACAGGTGTGTGGAGAGGGCAGGGAATAAATAGCATGTATGTGTCTGCTCTCAATCTAAAGTAGTTGTGATGTGCTGTAATGTGTGATAGGACAATGGTGGCAGAACCCCAGACACAACAAAGCCCTGGCGAGCTGGCACAGCCCCATAACTGCCCAGAGATTACTCGGGTGATAAAGGAGCAGAACCCCTCGCTATTGCATTGCTACATTCTAAGCCAAACCCAGGATTAGACAAGAGTGCAGTGCGGGGGGGTGGGGGGGATGAGGAATTGTGGGCAAGTTGGTTTTTCTGCCTGCGTAATTGGCTGTGCATGCAAAAGCAAGAGCCCTGCTTTTGAATTTGTTGTAATAAACAGATAAGCTGTTTGCAACATAGTGTGCCTGGGGTTGGAAGTTTTAGAAGCACATGAGAGTGGGGACAGAAAGAAATGGGGAGGGAAGGAACACTAAACTGTGGGAGAGAAAGTGGCAAATCAGTGAAGGGAAAGGCATGCTTGAGTTGGATCTGAAGTTTTCCTAGATCTGATAATTAAATAATTCTGTATCACTGTGGCCATGCAAACAGAGAGATAAGACATGGACCACACAAGGGGTTGTGTACAGGACTGCATATTCCTATCCTAAATTGTCATTTTCAAATCAGCTGTAACCTCTGGAGGTGTGGAAAGGGGGCCCAACTGTCTCAAGTCACAGCCTCCCCAGGTGGATTTTTCAGATTCAAAAGAGGTGTTCCGGGGCAGAAGTGGGCAGAGGACTTGGCAGTTTCAAGGTTACTGAGTGAAGATACTCAGACAGAGGGCGAGATGCAGCCTGCCTGGTAAAAGGAGGGAGGCATTGCAGAACAATGGGGTGGAGGGGTCGAGATTGAGGGGGAGTTCCTCATTCCTGTAAAGAGATGACAGGGAAGCAACAGGACCAATTAAGAAGTGTCCAGCAATCCTACCATCTATGCCTCAAGCAGCAGGATCCACCCTGAGGATCCTTTGTGACAGTGGGGGGAGAAGTGGATGTTCCAGGTTGGATTCGACTCTTCACATGGGCAGATGCTAGTTCCTTATCTCAAAGGGACTGTTACTTTGATGGATGCTGTTTGTAACCTGTAGAGCTCAAATGAGGGACTGTGCTTCAAACGTTTCTTTTAAATTTGTTGGAAGGGAAAAGTGGGGGAAGAGCCATGCTCCTGACAGGTGCTGCAGCACAAACTGTAGAGAGTTAGGTGAGGTAGGCATAGATATTATGCTTTACTCCTTCAACCTGTGTGTATTGCTGAGCACCTCTCAGTTCATTTAGCCTTATTGACCTTATTTTGTCTTCAAGGGTTACTTGAAACTTATTCACTTAATTTATGGATTTGCTGTTCATGTTTTGCTTGAAAAAAAGGGTAAAGATTTCCCCATGACATTAAGTCCAGTTGTGTCTGACTCTAGGGAGTGATGCTCATCTCCATTTCTTAGCCGAGGGAGCCGCAGACAGTTTCCATGGTCATGTGGCCGGCAAGACTAAACACCAAGACACATGGAATGCTGTTACCTTTCCACCAAAGTGGTTCCAATTTGTCTACTCGCATTTGCATGCTTTCAGACTAAATAAATTTACATTCAAAAACTGTGAACATAAAATTCCTCAAAAATGCAGAAGAGAACAAAGAAAGGAACTGAAGCCTCAGACATAGTGTAGATGATGGAATAGTACTGGAGTTGTTCAAAGACCGTTATCTTTAAAAAGGGTTATTCATTCTTAAAAACAATTGGCTCTTATACCAAAGCTCTCTGAGTTGGATCCAGGCTTAAGCATTCTTCGAGCAGGTCCATTTTAATCAGTAGGACAACTCTATTCCATTGATTTCAGTTCATTTAATCAAACCAGGACTAACTTGTTCCATTGATTTCAGTCAGTCTACTGGTAGCATGGCTAAGTCTGCATCCAACTCTTTGGGCTCACTTTAGCTTGAGTTAGTACTTATTACATTCCTTCAAGCTGATCAAATAATATCGCTGTAACCAGCTTAAGTCCCATTGCTTTCAGTGGCATGTAACCATAATTCATTTAACCTCAGTTGGGGTCTGAAATCTTTGCCACTGGAACCTCCGTCGTGATGGTTGTCAGCATGTTGATCCTGATTATCCACTTGTATATGGAAAATCATGCTACAGAAACGTACTGCACCTACAGGCTTTTTCTCCAAGGCCTTCAGCTTGCCTGCAGTAAGAAAGCTTGGTTGAGCAGCCTGAGATAGAGATGCTGCAGTGGGGGGGGGGGGGGGGGTAAGGAGGGGGGGGGCATGGCATAGGGTAACACGCTAGTGCTGCACCATACCCTGCTTCTGAGGGGAAGGGGAGAGTTGGAATCTGACTCACATTGTCTCTGTGATCCGTAAAACTTCCCTGCAGTTCTATGGTACAGGTTAAACTAACATTTGCATTGGTCCAGGCCCGGATATATTTTCTCCTTTCTTACTATGACTGGGCAGTTTTAACACTTTTAAAATTAGGCAGATTTTCTTTGCTAAAGTAACTATCATTATTAGTGGTTGACTACTTTTGGGACTGAACAGCACCCACACTAGATCCAGCAGGTTTCGCAATATAGGAAAGGAAACAGAAAGCATCACAATAGCGAAGCAAAAAGAAGAAAAAAAAGCTCTTTCCACTCCATTGCCCTAATCTTAAACACACAGATAAATGTTAGGACACCAGAAGGGGATGTATTGGCAGTCCACATTAGAGCTGTGACCAGTAAAAAGGAAAAGAAAAAAAGGAGCTACGTTTTAATTTTCAGGACTGAAATTTAAGAACTGTGCAAATAGCATGTCTTTATCTCCAACCAGCAGCATGAGGTAAACACAGGAAAGCATGCTGGATTAGGATTGTTCTGCTCCATAACTAGGTGACACACTGTGACCCACAAGACCTTCATGAGGAGCCCAGAGGTCCAGATGTGGATTTGCAGTGTGGTCGTTCATTGCTCAGCAGCACAAAGCAAATAAGAGACAAAAGAAAACAACCTCTGAAATACTTTGCAAAATACACCTCTTTGGGGAAATAGCCTTCCTGTCTTGGCAGATCCAAGCAACAGCAGAAGAGAGCTAAAGTTTTGTCCAGGCCCTTGTTAAAAAATAAAATAAAAGGGAGAGAGGGCATATGCCAGCATGTGGTGTCATGGCGTACTGGTAACTAGGAAGCTGTTTTGGAATTTTATGACCCATGTGAAATGATTTGCAAGATCATGTAACACAAATAAAATGCCTCTGTCCCTTAAGATACCCAACCATTCTTTTCAGGATCAGGTTGATTTTGATTATTAGGTGGATTTTACCAGTGTTCCTAAGAATATACAGAGGGTGGATTGGTAATGCTAATCTAATTCAGATATTTGTAAGAACATCCTTTTAAATAACCCAGGTGTAAAGATACAGATTAATCTAGGAAAGAGATTAATAAACGGTATTGTTTAAAAGGTAAACCATTTAACCATTCACGGTGCTTGAATCACTCTCAAAAGAGTATGTATGGGATGTTAATTTCTAGCTGGATCTTGTGATCTATATAAATGCCAGGCCTTTGAAGAGCAATAGACCTGATTCAAAGAAAGAGGCATGGGGCACTAGGGTTGTCACCCAAGAGGAAAAGGGGCGGCAGCCCCAACATTTTGGGGATCACCATTCTCTGAAAAACTGGGGCTTAGTTTCACACTTCAGGAGACCTTAAGAAGAAATGCTCAAGTTTTGCCATCATTAAAGTTAGGTTGGACTTCAGTTTTTACCAGTCCTTGTCTATATTGGGGAAAAGAATAGTGGTATTCACCATTCTGACTACAAAAACAATAAAATGGAGCAGAGTTGGCAGCATAATGGAAGATCAAATAATATTTTGGAAGTGTGTTTGGTTTCCTTCAACTCCCTTTGTCTTACATCTGCATACATAGTGGAGTGGACCAAACTTCTCCATCACAAACAGACTTTCCTGAGCCACCATAGTGAACTATGGAAGTTTGCACCTGCACTTTGTAAATATAATAAAATCATTGTTAGGGCCCAGATTTCCATCATCATCATCATCATCATCATCGCTTTACATTTATACCCTGCATTTCTTCCTTTTGCAAGGCTGCTTGCAAAGTTCTTCTCTCCATTTTATACTCACAGCAATCACAACCCTGTGAGGTAGATTGGGTAGAGTGTCTGTAACTGGCCCAAAGTCACCCAGCGAGCTTCAAAACCAAAATCTGGACTTCCCAGGGCCCAGTTCAACCTTCTCACCACTGTACCTCATGGGCTCTCCATGAGGCTTTCCATTGTGCCCATTGTTGGTGGCTCATGACAAACAACAGAAGCTGGGATGCACCAGAAGAGCAAGGACCTTCTGCTCTCTGCAGTGTCAAAGGATATCCAATCTTCAGCTCAAGGCATGCCAAGTACCTTGGTTTGGGTCTGCTTCTTTCTGCTCTGGTCATGCAACAAAACTATCGGTTATAGATATGTCATGAGCAACAGTGTTTCTGCTTTTGTCTCCTTTCTTTCCAGCTTGTAACTGCAACCTGCATGCTAGAAGGTGTCGTTTCAATATGGAACTCTACAAATTATCTGGTCGCAAGAGTGGAGGCGTCTGCCTTAACTGCCGACACAACACAGCAGGTCGTCACTGCCACTACTGCAAGGAAGGCTACTATCGGGACATGACCAAACCCATCACCCACAGGAAAGCATGCAAAGGTAGGTGCTTCAGGACCACCAGGCAGAAAAAGAAGCAACAGGTTTACTTATCTTTTCTCTCCACTGCCATATTTGCAGGTGTTTTTCCTCTTCTTCCACCTCATTTCTGTGCATGTTTATTGAGGCTGTTATTCCAATGTACCTACTTTTGGAATCATTGGAGAATTTTGATTTGGGCAGTGCATGAAGAGTTTTTCCTATCTTGCTTTTCTGCTACTGTGGTTTAATGGAACAGTACAAAAACACAAATGGAAAAAGAGTTTTCTTTCACTGTCAGACATAGTACTGGACTTTTCCTATTCTAAGCAGAAGCAGAAGATCTCGCTGAAAGTGCTTTTCAAGAGTAGAACAAAACTGGAAGGTCACAATGTTATTTAAAGGACCTATAAACAATTGTGAGTAGAGATTGACAAGTGCACCATCAATGCCTCATGTAGAAAAGCTTGCAAGCTCCTCTGAATTTGGTGGGTTTGAGTCTGCACAGTGGGGTGAGTTCCTGTTGCTCCGTCCCAGCTCCTGCCAACCTTGCAGTTCGAAAGCATGCAAATGCAAGTAGATGAAAAGGTACCACTTTGGTGGGCAGGTAACAGCGTTCCGTGCACCTCGGTGTTTCGTCATGCCAGCCACATGACCACGGAGACTGTCTGCGGACAAACGCTGGCTCCCTCGGCTAGGAAACGGAGATGAGCACCGCCCCCTAGAGTCAGGCATGACCGGACTTTAATGTCAAGGGGAAACCTTTACCTTTTACCTTACCTCCTGGGTAGCTGTGCATTGGGTCGCAGATCTACTGTCTGACTTCCAACCAATTTATATTAAAAACTACCAATTGCAGCATTGGACTTGGCATTTCATCCTTTGACTCCTTCTCCTTTCCCTTTTTCCTTTTTTACAGCCACTCATGATATGTATAAGTGTAAAAAAAAGCCAGCACAAACACAGTTAGCATGATTTGCATCCCCACAGCTGTGACAGCATTTGTGCAATTTAGCTGCACAATGCTTAATGAACTGCCTTATGGAGATGGAGGCTTTTCGATGCAAACTAGTGCTGTGTACATGCAAAAACCTGGAATTGTGTGCTGAGCAACAGTTCTATGAAGAAAGTGACAGTTTAAAATCCTGCTTTAAAAACCCTTCCTTCTGTCCTTCCTTCCTTCCTTCCTTCCTTCCTTCCTTCCTTCCTTCCTCTTAGCAAGTACTTTGTAAAACCTAGACTATGGAGTCCTCATTAGAAACAAAGAAACAGAGCAAGTCAGAAAGGGTCTCCCAGGCCACCCAGTCTGACTCCCAGCTCCAGCTGACTCCATTCATGCAATCCCCAGCATGTGGATGTCCAATTTTTCCTTGAATGCCCTCACTGATGGGGCTCAACCACCTCCCTTGGAAGCCTATTCCATTTACTTCATTAGGCTTATCCAGATGTACAAGTTGAGACATTTTCAGAACATTGTTTTGTTTGTTTGTTTGTTTTGCCATTTTAAGTAGTATAGCATCCTTTGCCAGCTCGAGGTTCTGTCCTCTTTAGGGCATTGCATGATGATGACTTTTGTGCTTCTGTTGCAGTTACTGATTTTCAGCACTGGGAATCCTAGATCACTCCATGCACACACACATCCCATGGGAGCCGTCTACCAGTGCTCACAGCTTCTCTGGAAGATTCCAGCCTTTAGCTACTGATGGCTGTTTGACTGACAACTGCTCCAATAGCTTTCTCACCCAGCACTTTCCCCCACTTCTGTGCTCCCAACTGTGATAACTCCCACCCCTTTGTGTAGAACCTGAAAGAGTCACTGGAGGTGGGGATGAAATCAGAGCAGGATGCAAGTGGAGCAAAACATGCTCCTATAGAAGTTCTTTCATAGGCTGGAGTTAGACCTTTACTCATGGGTGAAAGAAACAGCCCTGCTTGCTGCCCCAGTGTTTGCCTATTGCTCTGTGGAAAAACTGGAACAACCCATGGGATCGATCCCCAAGTGGGAAATGTGTGGGGCTGTGCAGACCTCTCCAGACCTCTAACCCTGTAGCCAACTGCTTTGGGAAGAGGCATAATTTAGCAGTATGAGACTTGGGAAGCTAGTCCTGATGCTGCTGTTAGAGGGGAGAGAGTTGGGCAGTTTAATTCTGAAAGCTCCATTTGTCTGGACTATACACTATGTCCGAGAAACCAGAATGCTTTCAGGATGTTTAAAGGAAAAAGATCAGAAGTCTGTTTTGTTCAACTTGTCACAGCTTATCAGCCTTCTTTCCTTCTCTCCCCCTCCTTCAAAAGCACACATACAGAAATGTTGAATGGCTTGAAACAGCTGTTCAGAACATGTGTGACTAGACAAGTAAAAACAAAGACAAGGAAAAGGGACCTCAAACATAAGAGAAGAAAGACAAAGGTGTGAATGGATTGTTGAGGTTATTCAGATCAGCAAATGGAGCTCTTGCATCAAAAACAAAGGCTGGCCTTCTCTCCCCTTCCCACAGGTGTGCATACCAGCAAACACTGGGCTCCATTCAATAGGCTTAGTATCCAAGAAGACAAAGACTATATCTTTTGCAAATACACATAAGCACAGATCTGTTGCACATACACATACAGGGAGGAACGCCCCCACTCTCAATCTATAGATAGTTTTGCCCTCTGGCCAAAATAATAACAAACTAAACACTTCCTCCATCAAACAGGTCATCCCCCAGTGATGTGGAAAATCTTAGAAAAACCAAATAACCTTAGTTAAAACCAGCGATGACTGTGATAAAAAAAAGTGTGCAACTGAATAATCATGTCAGCTTCTTTCCCCTTTTGTTTTTTTTAACTGGAGTTTGTGGATGGGTGAAAAGAAATAGGACCTAGAAAGATAATAGCAATCAAGCCATGCCCATGAAGCCGTACAGGAAGCTGAGATAATAAGAATCCCTTCCTTCTTCTCTATTAAAAGTGCCCAGAGCAATGTACAATGTAATCATAAACCACATAATAGGATATGAATACTAGTTTCTATTAAAAGTGGTAAAAAGAACATAATACTGCTAACTTTTAAATTACAAAATGAAAACAAAACCTATCAATGGCCATGGTAAAGGAAGTTTCCTATTACAAGTGGCAGCAATAAAAGGAGGCATGTCAGGAGAACCTGTCAAATAAAAGTGTCTTCAATTTCTGGTGAAAGAAACCCAGGATGGAGTCTGATAAATTTCACTTGGGAGGGCATTCCAGAGCTATTCCACCCCCCATAGAAAAGGCCATATTTTTTCATATACATTCTGCAAATCTCTTGAGAGAACCAAACAGGCACACGTAAGACCCGAATGAGAGCCCCAGAAGGAAAAAGCGTGATAGCTTCATGGAAATGTCTCTTGTAGTGGGTGAACATGAGGGAATAAATCTTCAGTGCAGACAGAACCACAGCATCACAAAGTCGTGAAGCGGGCCATGGACCCCCTTCAAATAAGGGGCTGGCATAGGTCCACACTTCCACACACTGCATACCAGGCAGCAGCGTTCTGCAAGCCAGAAAGTCAAATGGGGCAAGTTCATCATAAGCATAATGTGATCTTTTCCAAATTTAATGTACTTTCCTGGAACGTCAAGAGGCTAAGGAATTTAAGCAGGCAGAAAAGAGTGTTAAGTTAAAAGAGCATGACATTCACCATAAGCACAATCTTTTTTTATGTTTCAGTCCATATGTCTCTCTCCATAAGCATTCCACCATCATCCAACTTGTGCAAAATTGTTCAAGGCATCATCCAGCTTCCGGTTTTTCTCTGTCAAAAAAGATTTTCTTTATGTAGTAGGAAGGCAGTCTTCTCTTCCTTTTTTCCTTGCAGCTCCCTTCGTATCTCAAAGGAATCCAGTAATTTTGTCATACTTGGGCTTGTTTTCTTCACATTTGGCTGCAATGGTCACCCTCTCAAACCTTACCCAATATTACTTGATTAGTTTTCCTTTCTGTTAGCTCACCTTACACTTTCTTCTCCAGTGCATTTACATCTCCCTGCACACCATTTTATTTTTTGCCCATGCTTCTCATCTATATGCAGCTACACCCCAATATATGTATGCATGTATCTCACTTAACTTACTCCTACTGAAGAATTGTGCGGATTTGAAATGCTTCCTCTCTCCCTCTTGCACATGCGCACGTGCACCCACCCACACGCTTCCATTGTTAAAAATCTAACGTTGAATTACCTTTTGATGTGCTAGATGCAAACTCCTTTCGGTACCAGAAGAATAGCTTAAATAAGAGAGAGCCACCCACACTAAACTTCAGCGTGCTATTTTCTGTCCTAACTGCAAACGAATACAAAAGTGGCGGGGAGGGGGAAGGGGCTAGTGGGAAGCAAGGGGGGAAGGTGAAGTAAAGCACTCTGGAATGTGTTTTGTATGTGGAGACAGGGAACCGCGATCCTGGCCTACTGGAAGCTTCTCTCGCTCGCTCGCCCCCCACTCCCCCCCCCCGTGTTTAGCAGATGTTACTTTCTCACATAAAATGTTGGACTTTACACATATAGAGCGTTGTAACCCCAAAGACTAAAACTGAAAGCAGAGATTCTCAGGAATATGGCAACAGATGCCAAATTTTGAAATTCACCAAATCATTGTAGCCACATAGTGCGACCTTGTTTATGCTCCCCCAACTCTGCCGCTTTCGCTAAGGCCAGGCCTTGTGCTTCAGCGAAGAGTGTGGCTGTGGGGGCAGATGTATTGTGCACCCAGCTCATTCAAGGCATCAAAAGGAAACATGCCCAGCTAATGTGGGCTACTGAGAATGGCCTGGACCCTTTGAATAAATTGTGATTTCAGCTGCAGAGAGCAAATGGGGTGGGGGCTGGGGAGGGCAAAACAGCCACGCCACTGAATGGGCACTGAAGGGGAGGGGGACATGAAAGTTCACTTGACATCCTTACTTGGCAGGTTTAGAAGCCACCGGAGCTCAGAAAGACCAAAGAAATGCAAGCCTGCAATGGGAGGAAAGCAAATTTGACACAACCATTTTCATATTTTGC